GCCATTAGATTGTTGTATATGCACTTGTATTAGGTGATTGTGTATGTGTGTGTTTTTAATTAGATTAGTGTGTGTACGTGTGTCAATCGGATTGGCATTGTAAATTGTAACAAAAAAAAGAGAATAATAGAAATCTCAAACCACCACCGTAGGGTGGTGGCTGCCGCCACCGGCCGCCGTGTCGGGTGACGGTGTGCTTAGTTGTGTTGGGATTGCTAGTTTGGGGATGTTTGGATAAGGGACTGAAACCCTAATGGGCCCAATGAAGCTAAATGGACTCTAATGGACCTAATAAGACCCTAATGGGCCTTGAAACCCTAATAGGCCCAATAAAGCCCTAATTGATCTAAAAGCCCAACAAATTAATTAACGGACTAGTATTGGGTTGGTAACCCTAATTAGGGTTTGGAAAATCCTAATGCCATGAAACCTTAATTTTGGGGAATTAATTGAGACACACGAGAATTATTTAATAACTTGAGATATTAAATACTAAGCTTTGGTAAAGATTAATCTAAGCGATAATGGACTTAATGGATTAAGTGCTTAATGGGTAAAGTAGGAAACTTAACCCTAATCATCATTTTATGTGAACCCCTAATTTCACTTGGGTTTATTGTTAGGCCTTTCTATTGGGCCTTGATGATTTGGGTTATTAAATGGACTATCCAAGATCAAGCCAATGGTCTAGAGTAATTTAATGGGCCTAGGGTAAGGCCCATGTAAGGGGTTTGGGCCTAATTTGGAAAAATGGGCCATAGAATGAGACCATGTATAGGCCTAGGCCCAATTTGGAAAATTAGGCCATATGTTGGGCTTTGATTCCTAATTGACTTTGGGCCTACGGATTGGGCCTTGGGCTTGAATAAGCCAAGCTTAGGGTAATGTAATTATCCAAAGTAAGTGTTTATGGTTATGTAGTGGGACCTAATTATTAATTGGGTGATGTTTTGATATTGATAGATCGGGAATCTGTCATCCAGCAGCTGGGGTTGAGTCTGCGGGACTTCAGCAGTGTGGGATTATGTCTACGGGACTTCAGCAATGTGAGGTGAGTTACCTTCCAGTAGCGGTGGGTCTGTGACCACAATGCCAGCCCACTAGTAGGAGTTGTTGTTAGATGATTGTCTTTGTGATAATTGTCTATGTTTGCTACTACCTGTTATGTTTATGTGCTAGCATGATATGATGTTATGTGATAGTGGTAGTAGGGGGTGAAATAGTCCCCACTTACTGGTCGATAGGACTGAAGGGGTAGGCCAGCACCTAGATATGCTAGGCAGTATATGACTTATGTGTTTATGCTATGCTTTTATGTGGTAATGTTAGGGGTAAAATAGTCCCCGGTTACCAGTTGAAAGATACTGAAGGGGAGACCAGCACCCAGATATGCTAGGCAGTATCCCGTCGAGAGGACCGAAGGGGAGCCCAGCACCCAGATATGCTAGGCAGTATCCGGTTGAGAGGATCGAAGGGGAGCCCAACACCCAGATATGCTAGGCAGTATCCGATCGAGAGGGCCGAAGGGGAGCCCAGCACCCAGATATGCTAGGTAGTATCCGATCGAGAGGATCGAAGGGGAGGCTAGCACCCAGATATGCTAGGCAGTATCCGATCGAGAGGACCGAAGGGGTAGGTCGGGCACCCAGAAATGCCTAACAATATATGTATGTTATATGATTGTGTGGTATGTGGTATGATGGGGGAACTCACTAAGCTTTATGCTTACGGTTTTCAGTTTTGGTTTCAGGTACTTCGTTTTCAAAGGGAAGGAGCCGACTCGATCGCAGCGCATCACACTATGGTTTTCCGCACATGAGATCTTTGGGATTACACTCTGATATTGTTTTATGATAACATGTTTGATTATTTCTACTTTGGTTTTGTCATGACATGATATTACAAATGTTTTATTACACTGTTGGTTTTATAATGATGAATTTAAAATGAAAATTTTGGCCTGTATTTTTGGAATGTTACAGATCATATTCTTCCACAATTCGTAATGGGGCACGTGTAGGGCCACCCACACTATTTAGATTTGCATTTAAATCATTTGCTGAGGACTAGAAGCAGTTATTCAAGTTAAGATATCTTCAAGCTAAAGTGAAATATATAGAAGAACTTTTATCCTTGACACAGAAATGATTGAAACACCAAGGTGATTTCTAATCAAATATAATCTGATCTTTATGGATTCAAAGGACAACCAATCAAGCTCTGATACCAATTGTGAGAACAAGATCGATGCGCAGGGTCCAACCTATACTAGAGGTATCTCCCACGAGCCATAGAATCTCAAGATTTTCTCCTGTAATAGCTGAAGTCCCAAAGAGGTTCCAAACTCCCAACATGAAACCTTATGATGGAACCACTGATCCTAAAGAATGTGTGGTGTAATACAGAGAAAGAATGAAGATCATCATCATTCCCACACATCTATAGGAAGCCAGTTTTGATTCCACCCTCATAGGACCAATCTTGAAATGGCTTTTCAATATTCCTCTTTATTATTTGTTTTGCTCATTTAGTTAATCTATTCAACATCCGATTTTCTTGTAATAGGACATTCAAAAGGATCACTAGTGATCTCCATTGAGTACTCCAGGATCCTAACAAATCCTTTAGAGATTTTGTAAGTAGGTTTGGCAAGGAAGAGCTGAATATTCCTAATATTGACATAGTCACTGCAGTAGAAGCCTCCAAGATGGATTTAAAGAAGGATCCACCCTTTTATGAGGTCGCGTAATGACCCTGTGTAGGAAAATGACAAAGTCAGAAGTAGAACATTGAGGTTCATTAGAATTGAAGAAGGTCTAATCTTTACCATGCACGATCTTGGCAAGAAAGCAAGGTGGCCAACGAAAGGAGAGAAATCAAGTAGCTGGAAAGACAAGTTGAAATTGTGCACATACCATGAAGATTTCAGCCACATCACTGAGGATTGTGCAGCCCTATAGAAAGGAGATTAGCTATCTCCTAAGGAAAGAACATCTCAAAGAGATCCATATTGATTTAAATATAACATTACATGGTCAACTTAAATATAAATTTTAATTTAACTTAACCAACCCAAATAATATTTTGTAAGTAATTAAAAGTGATAAATTGCAGTGTCTTTCTAATAATGATTATAATTTGGTTAATAAGGTTAAATAAATATCAAACCTAAAGTGTAATCATAAATAAACTAAATTTCAACATTAAAATGATATTTTTACTTCTACTTATAAAGCTATGACTTTAACTTTTAACATATTATACTTAATTTATTAAATTTAATATGTTGTTGTATGTAAACCATTATCAGTTTAAAGCTACAAATTTTGAACAGTTTGGCCAAATATTTAAATTGTTAATTTAAATATAACATTACACTGTCAACCTAAATATAAATTTCAGTTCAATTTAAAAAACCCAAAGAATATTTTGTGAATAGTTAAAAGTGATAAATTGTAGTGCTAAATTCAAAAACTAAATTGTAATCTCAATTTAACTAAAATATTTCCTAAAAATATTTTTATAATCATTAAAAATTTTCAAATAAGTAGCTTAAAATAACTTATAATAACAATAGTTAAATATAACTCTATATAAATGATTATATTGTTAAATTTAAAATAAAAAAACAATGTTTGATGTTTTAAATAATTATAATGATAGAAATTAAAACGTTAAACAAATAAATTTTAAAAAATTAATTAACAATAACAACAACTATAAATAACATTAAACCATATATTATATGTAATTTTATTCATGAGTAACTTGCAGGTAGAAGTCAGTCAAACAATTGATATTGTGCAGTTATAATAGATGTATATATTATCATATAATTCAAAATAATCAATATATAATATCAATTTAGTATACGAATTATTATATTAAATATAACAAAAACGTTATTGTTATATTTAAGAAACATATATTTGTAAAGATTTCAACTATATAGGTCTTTATGCACAACGCGTGGATATTCGCCTAGTAATAGTATATTATAAAGGAAATATTTTTTCTTTCACCACATTCATTTGAAACTCTCATGCATTTTTCCTTTCACAACATTCATTTGAAACTCTCATGACTTTTCAATTTTTTTTTCTAATAATAATTATAAATTGGTTAATAAGGTTAAATAAATATCAAACCTAAAGTGTAATCATACTTAATTAATTTCAAAATATTAATTATAATGTACCATTACACAAATATCCTTTTGGAATGATTGATCCACAATCATTCCTACATCCATACATAATTATTTAGAATATTTGAACCTCTCTCTCTCTCTCTCTCTCTCTCTCTCTCTCTCTATATATATATATATATATATATATATATATATATATATATATAAGTAGGTTCATGCGAAAATATAAATATCTTGCGAAAGCAGATTTTATCTTATAAAAATCAAACATATGTACTATAAAAAAATAATTTAATAGAAATAAATTAAAGATAGTAAGTTTACATGGGATGATGTTATGGTAATATAGATTTAAAGACGGTTTTAATAAAAAAAAATTTCACGTCCTTAATCATTTTTAAATTCATGTTTTCATAATAAAAATGTTAAAAATCATAATTTGCTAATATGAAATAATTTATCAGCTATCATTTATTATCATCATCATGTATTTTAAAGTTTGGATGAATAATTTTCCAAAATATAATGCTAAGGTGATACAATATCATTAGTTTTTCTTGTTTTCGCGTTTTACCAAATTATTTGCATTTTCGCATTAACCCTCCCCTATATATATATATATATATATATATATATATATATATATATATATATATATATATATATATATATATATATATATATATATATATATATATATATATATATATATATATATATATATATATATTGTCGGCCCAATCCACGTCTTGGTTTATTTCTTAAGGTCGATCTCTATAAAAGGATACACATGATAATGATGATATGGTGGGTCGACGTTATTAATAATCAATAATAATATAAATATAGATAAATAAATAATGCATTCATATTTATATAATACTCCAACAATATATACCCATCATACCAAACAACGATTTTGAAATTCTTAGGTACACGTACAGTCTAGTCAAATGTAAGTAAGTTTAAGTTCACAACTCAAAAGAAAGACCAATGCAGAAATTCATTCCAAACATACAAATTTCAGAACATTCATTATGTCAATCGAGCGGGTGTTACTATGCCCAAACCTCCACAATTTGATGTACGTGCGTAAGGTTTAATCAACAACAACTAATTAATAGTAATTGATTATATATGCATGTCTTGGAAAGCGTCATCCAACATCAATATATTGATGTGGTACGTATTCCAGTAAAATCTCGATAAGCATAACTTGGCTTCAAGACAAAACATCTATGCGAGTATTTAAGTGTGATTCTCCATCCCTGACATACACATCATGCACAAATAAAGATAGGGTTAATTAGGCTATATATACATGATGGTGAGGTTCAAGGCTCTTATATATAAGAAACAAAATCAAAAGACTCCACGGACAATAAAATCTAAATTATTAAACGGGGAATGATAATACATATATCAATTAAATGTAAAGCAAGAATTAATATGAAAACAATAAAATCTAAATTATTAAACGGGGAATGATAATACATATATCAATTAAATGTAAAGCAAGAATTAATATGAAAACGTATATAGAGTGAAAGTAATGGAGCGGACCTAATTAACGTGATGTTGTATGAGTGGTGTGGATATCCAAACTACTACTTCGAACTACTCGCGTCATAGATTGGCTATGAGAGATTATAGTGGCGGACCCAGAGGTAGCCATAGATTGGCTATTTGAGATTATAGAGCCAGAGCCAGAGCCAGAGCCAAATCCAATCATAGATTGACTATGTGAGATTACAGAGCCAGTGCTAGTGTCATTCATAGATTGGCGATGTGAGATTACAGAGCCAGTGCCACTCATAGATTGTTGATGTGAGATTACAGAGCCAGTGCCACTTATAGATTGTCGATGTGAGATTACAGAGCCAGATCCACTCATAGATTGGCGATGTGAAATTGCAGAGCCAGATCCAGAACCACTCATAGATTGGTGATGTGAGATTGCAGAGCCAGAGCCACTCATAGATTGGCGATGTGAGATTGCAGAGCCAGAGCCAGAGCCAGTGTCACTCATAGATTGTCGATGTGAGATTACAGAGCCAGATCCACTCATAGATTGGCGATGTGAAATTGCAGAGCTAGAGCCAGAACCACTCATAGATTGGTGATGTGAGATTGCGGAGCCAGAGCCACTCATAGATTGGCGATGTGAGATTGCAAAGCCAGAGCTAGAGCCACTCATTGATTGGAGATGTGAGCTTGTAGAGCCAGAGCCAGAGCCACTCATAGATTGACTATGTGAGATTACAGAGCCAGAGCCAGAGCCAGAGCCATTTATAGATTGGCTATGTGAGATTATAGAGCCAGAGTCATTCATAGATTGGCTATGTGAGATTACAGAGCCAAAGCCAGATTCAGTCATAGATTGGCTATGTGAAATTAGAGAGCCAGAGCCAGAGCCACTCATTGATTGATTTTGTGATATTATAGAGCCAAAGCCAGAGCTAGATCCACTCATAGATTGGCTATGTGAGATGCCAGAGCCGTTCATAGATTGACTATGTGGGATTACAGAGCCAGAGCCAGATCCACTCATAGATTGGCTATGTGAGATGCCAGAGCCGGTCATAGTTTGACTATGTGGGATTACAGAGCCAGAGCCAGAGCCACTCATAGATTGGCTTTGTGATATTACAGAGCTAGAGCCAAAGTCAGAGCCAGATCCACTCATAGATTGATTATGTGGGATGCCAGAGCCAGAACCATAGCCAAAGTCAGTCATAGATTGGCTATGTAAGATTGCAGAGCCAGAGGATTTGTTTTCTTCATGGGACCCAACTTCCTTACGAGTTTGAGATTGATGCGATATAACTACATCACTTGAGGTCCTAGTCAACTTAATTGAAGCTTGTTCCTCATTTTGCGCCTCAATGATTCGTGTGCGAGTACGATGATATTCCTCTTGTTGCTTTTCCTCTATATATAACAATAACATGCAACTATATGGATTATGGACATTAATATTTCTTTTTTTTCCAACTTCAATTCTTTTAAGGTAGCTAATTAACAAAAGATTGTTTTTTTTTATTACGATGACGATTAAGACATTTATGATATCTTTTTAATTAAGAGAGAGTTAATGGACATTTATGATATCTTTTTAATTGACAGAGAGTTTCTATCCTATCTTTATATTATGAGAAATTAAATATCATCCTACATTTTCTTTTAGATATCTTCCTACCCATATGAAATAATGACATATGTCATATTTTGAAAAAATTAATTATATTTTTGGATACTTGTCATTATTTCCATTGGGTAGGAAGATAATTAGGAAGAAAAGTAGGAGGATATTTAATTTCTCTTATATTATAGATGGACATTTTTTTACAATTGACATTGGTAAAAACCAGGGTTCTAGGGGTAGCCGATGCTGCTCCTTAAATTTTTCGGCATGAAATAATTTTTTTGGGAAACTTTCTGGCGTAGTGTAAATTTTTCGGCATGCCACCCCAAAAATCATGTGTGCTATGCTATACCTTGGACTTTTTCTGGTTCCGCTACCGGTAAAAGCTGTTATGCCATGTGTATTGTGTAAAACAAAATTTTAAGCACTTGCCTATGTTTTGGTAGCAAAGGACGAGGATTGATTTAAGGTGCTCATGAATGTTGTGAACTTTATGAGTCAAGCTTGAAAGTTCACATGCTTCGGAGGTAGTTGTGATGTACCTGCTATTAATTGATAACATGTAACAAATAATATGTTTATTGTCTTATAATTACCATGATCCAAAAACAACCTTGTGGGTAATTAATTAAATAAAATAAACTTACTCATAATTCATGCCTAGAAGGCTTGTTAGCTGAGATGTGCAAGCCACCATACTCTTGATGGACCAATAAGTGGCAGTGGGAATATGATCAGCTGTTGCTGTTGACATGGGTGGGTGGTCATCCTGGATATATTGATGAGGTAGATTCTTGAATGTTATAATACACTTTGTCACATCCAACATAGCCTTAATCAGTTGATTAATTGAATCAAACCGAGCTTTTAGTATATTGTAATGCTTGATAACATCTGGCATATGTTTAAGCAAAGCGATTGATTTAGCAAGAGGATTAGTCGCAAACAATTCAGCCACAAGCCAAAACTCTCCAAAGATGATAGCAAACGCCCCTAATGATATCACCAACTTGTCTTCCCATGAGTAACTCGAAAGCGTGTTAAGAATTGCCAACGTGGATGCATGCGCGTCTGTTCCATCCGAGCATTTGCATGTAAGCTGCCAACAATTTAAAAAAAAAGGTTTTAATTACTTTACTCATGAATTACAATATAAATACATAACCATGCATTTATCTTATTTATATACTAATTTACCTCGCAAGAAACTGTACGAATGATGTCATCAAACCCTAATAAAACTTGCTTATAGTCTCCATGAATATTCGCACTATGCGCCCCCTGCTATATATTACAAAGCAAACCAATATATGTATGGTAAACATTGTGAAAATTAACAAAAAGAAATAAAATAAATAATTGTGCATATATACTGCAGTAATGATAAGGACAGAATCGAAATCTGCAAGAACAGCATGACGGAATGTTTCTTCAATGGCAGCAAGAAGTGGTTCCAAATCAACTTGGCGACCATCGGGTGCATGTGTCGCTAAAACACGCTTCATGACTGCACTGTCATAAGATGAACTGAAGATTTGCATCATCTGTTCCTTCTTAACCAATTGCCTCAACATTTTTTCGGCTCCAAATTAAGGTAAAAAGAGAAGGTATGATACTTAAATATGTGTGTGGTTTTCTGATTACGCAATATCCAGGGATTATATATATAGAGTGAGAATCTTTTAAAACGATATAACTTAAAGTTTCATATTTAATAAAGTGACTATCTTACTGGAAAATATCTTTTTAGCAAAGTTTTCTATTTAATTTTGAGAAATTAGATTATTTATTTATTAATTTATTTTTTGAAAGAACAAACTAATCCACTCATAATTATTATCATTTAAGTCTCAAGCGATACTTGAACCCAAGACCCTTAAACAAGAGAGTCACTCTTATCGCTAGACTAAAAACCCTTTGGTATAGCGGATAAATGTTTAGAAAAAAAAATAGGAAAAAAAAGTAAAAAGACATTTGATTTCTCTTAATTTTTTTTTAATTAACCGGGAATTTAAGCTATGTGATTAAACATTAAATTTTCTTTTAAATAATTAAAATTTAGTAGATCATTATTTTTTTTTTTTTGAGAGTGTAATTTTTAAGTTTTTAAATAACGTTATGATGGTGATTTAACAACAATATCAAGTTTCAAACTTTTATGAGTCATAATGATGTTGTTTGTAAGATGTGATTTAATATGGTATATATATATATATATATATATATATATATATATATATATAAAAGACTTAATCGGCATTTTGTTAAAGCTAGACGTCGGTACAAATCTCGTAGTAGTGACGTGTCAGATAGGACCAATTTTTAAAAACCTTGGTAGTTTTTGTATTATATTTAATATATCTGCTATTTGTAAACTAAGAAATGAAACAAAAAATATTATCAGATCAATTTTAAGCATATTAAAGTTTATATTACCCAATTCGTGACTTACACTTTTTACTAAATACTTAGGATAAAAATATTCAGAAAAAATTATATACTGTTTTCATTAATTATCCTAGACATTTAACTATCTATTACATAGAATTTTATTTTTTTCTCAAATTAAAAAAGTTCTCAATTTATGATTAATTATTATAAGACTAAAAATACAAAAAGTCAATATAATTTTAAAAGCCTATCGTTTAATCACTTAACGATGGTGATTATGAGTTACTGTCATAATTATTATCATTCGTGATTTGTAATCCACACTTTAATAATATGATTTTATTATTATTATTATTATTATTATTATTATTATTATTTTACAATTTGCTATTTTTATAATTAGGATGATGAATTATTATTATTATTATTATTATTATTATTATTATTATTATTATTATAGTTTATAATTCGTTATTATTAATACCCAAAAAAATGTTTTTTTCACCAAAACATGTTTTCTATAGCCAAACATGTGTTTATATCAAAAAAATGATTCTTACACCGTAGAGTTTTTACACCAAAATGAAACACAACCTTCTTTGTACAAAAGTATTCCCTAAATCAGTTGATATGCGTCGGTTTGTTAGCGATCGTTTAAAGGTTTCAACCTTTTAGTTTTTAACAAACAATTCATTTTAAACAAAAATTCTTTTGGGGAGTGCAAGTATTTAATTTTTAGTTTAAAACAAAAACAACTTTAAATCTAAAAGTTATTTCATATAACATTTAAGGATCTAAAAATTATTTTGGATGCTTATAGTTTTTAGCATTTTAAAAATATTAGAAAAAAAAAGAGAAAAAATTCACATTCACTAGAAAGAGTTCTTTTTAATTAAACAAAAATTTTAAATCCAAAAGCTACTTCAATTAATGTTTAACAAAAAACTGTAAGAGTCGAAGACGTGTTGTAATGAGCCGAATACTTTACCCTTCGTGTATTCTGTAATATATTTATTAAGGCGTCTAAATGTTCGAAGCTTAAATGCAATGTTTTAGTATTTTTATATATTTTCATGTTCCCTATAAATAAGAACTTTATTTAGAGTTAGATAAGAAGTCTTTACAGAACTTGTCTTCATTCTCTCTATAAAACTAGAAAGTATAATAGAGTTGAAATAAGATCATATTTATATCTCGTGTTCTTTGATATTGTTTTTACTCTGATTTTATTCTCATTACTCAATTAACGATTCATCAATTGGTATCAGAGCAGGATTCATAACTGCGATCTGATTTTCAGTTGAATCTGTTGTATTTGAATCGTAAAATTTGATTCAAAAGTTTCCGCACAATTAGATTCAGAAAATCATCAAGGATCATAACTTTTGATTTGATTTTGCATTGAATTTGTGATGTGTGTAAAACTCACTTAGTTTTAAACCTACTTTTAATTATCAAATAACACACAAAAGGCAGTGAACCTATCAATTGTGATATAGCTAAATAAGCAGGGTATCGAACACAGGGAACGGCAAATTAAATTAAAAACTAATTCTATCTAAGTTAATTAAGAAGTAGGGGTTTTTCTCTAATTTTACAAGACTAGAAATTTACTAACTATTACTAATTTGAGACTAGAAAATAACGACTTAACTAGATTCAATAATTGGAAAGGAACTTCTGTTTAGTTCAACTTGGTTAACTCTATGGTTGATTTCAAGGTAATAGTGCAATGGATTAATTCTTTCGTTGGTTACCGATTCAAGTGATTAGATTTGTGTTCACTACCCTAATCCTTAGCAAATAAACTAACTTAAACAGTGGCTAATTGTCTAATTTAATTATATTCACTAGATTAATTATTCGGGTTAAGTTAGACTTGCAATAGTTAACTAATTTATTATTTTAATTAACTTCTTGTTTGATGGTGATCTTACAAGCTTGCACATGAATTTACTTAATTTTCTTATTAATTCTAGTTTCATATTCATTAATCCTAGATATATAGTATAGTGGTCACATATCATATGAGGTCAATAATCAATAGATGTTCATGCTAATCAATTATCTTCCAATTAACAGAAAATTAATTATTATTCACACACAAGGTTCTTTAGCAAGCTAAAATAACAAAAATTCACCAACTTGGAATTAATCCTACCAATCAATCAAACCATATTGTCAACTTTGTATCCCCAAACAGAAGTCTAAAGGTTTTAGTTCATAATTAAAGTAAATAACAGCAAACAAACAAAGTCAAGTTGCTTAATCATAATGAATAAACAAAAGAATAAGTGGAATGATGAAATTTTGCCTTAATTACTCTCCGGAATTGAATTCTAGCTTCCTTCGTTGTCTTCTAGGGTTTTTCTGGCTTCTCAATCGTAGCAAAGTACTTCTGAATCGTCCCAGAACTCTCCTCAATCGATCTGTGGAATTATCTTTAAATAAACGAATCGACTCGTCGAGTCCCTTTCACATTCCCCGTATTGCGATAACTCTCTGGAATCCCGAGTCATTATCTTCCCGATTCTTCGATGGGACTCGCCGAGTAGTCAATCTGACTCGCCGAGTAGGTGCCATTTTTAGTGTTTTTCTTCTTTATTCCATTCTCGAACTCCTAACCGCTTCTCCTGCTTCCTTTTGCTTCCGAGCTTCATTTTTGGACTGAAAATGCAATTTAAACACTTTTAAGTACCTTTTATCCATAATATGCAATAATTTTGCTAATAAATGAATAAAAATCTATACTTAATACAAACTAAATATGCACATATCAATTTGCTTAATCGAGTGTTTGTTCTTGAATTTCTGTACAATTCATTCAGTCAAATACAAATTTCTACAAACTTTCTGAAAAATTCAAAACCGTACAACAATGGCGAATTTTAACATGAACACGGTGACTTCTTTCTCACATCTCTTAGGATCTTCTACTAAAATTTCAATGCTGATTCCAGAATATTACGATCAATGGGCTGATCGAATGGAAGATTATCTAAATGGATTAGATGAAGAATTATGGAATTGCATCTCTGGAACTACTCAACTTCCAACAAATGTTCAAAACATTGGTTCTTCGAATTCAACTGCTGCTGTTGATGAACGAGCTGATAGAATTAATAAAAATGAGAAACGATGTCTGAGGGAGTTAAGAGGTGAATTGCCACAAGTGGTTTACAACTATGTTCGTAGTTGTAAAAGTGCAAAGGAGATATGGAATACTCTCAAGGATAAGTATCAAGGAAGCGAAAAGGCGAAGACTAACTCTGTAAAGCAATGTTTGGTGGAGCTAAAGGAATTTCGACAGAAGGAGAATGAGACAATCGAGGTCTACTATGATCGCTTCAATGAGCTGATATATCGATCCAATCGATATGTAATCACTCGGTCTGCAATGGAATTCAATCTTAGGTTTGTGATGGGACTTCGAAAAGAGTGGAGAAGCGTGAGTATGATAGTTAAAAATCAGCAAAGTTTCGACACATCTTCCTTGAATGATTTGTATAATCAACTCAAAACTCATGAAAGTGAGGTTAATGAGATGGCTGAATAATCGAAGCTTAATCTAGGTGGTCCTTTGGCACTTGTCTTGAAAGTTACCGAAAAAGAAACTGTTGAAAGTGGTGATTCGGATGCTGAAGAAGGTCTTTTAATGAATTCGGATGATGAAGCAATTGCATTCTACTCGAACAACAAAGTCAAAAAGTTCTTTAAGAACCCGTTTAATCCGAAGACAAGGTAGAGTGAAGGAAGAGGAAATTTTCTGAATAACGCTGGTGGAGAGGAGAAGAAGAAGATAGAAAAGAAAGAAGTGAACGTTTCTGAGGAGAAAAAAGAGAAGAAATTGAAAGGAGATTCAGGAGTAGATTGTCACTACTGCAATGGAGCTAATCATCTTGCGAATGAATGTATGCTTCATAAGAAAGATGAGAAGAAGAACAAGGTGAAGGATGAGGCGTACTACACAGAGAGACTGGAAGAAGTAAGAGCGAAGGCGAAAGGCATCTCTTTGGTGGCAAAAGGAAAACAGGAAGAGGATGGTGCCTAGCAGATCTGGTCTTCGGGATTAGATGATGATGAAATGCGTAATCCAACACATGGTGCTCTGTACGCAAAATTCGAAGATGATTCTGACGAAGAGGTCACAGGAAGATGTTTTGTATCCAAATCAGCTGACAAGTCTCCGATGACTATGAAGGTACATTCTATTCTTGAATATTTCAATATTCCTTTAAATGCATATAACTCTGAAATTGTTGCT